GTTTGTCCGAAAAATATCTCAGTTGTTTTTATAGGTATTATGTAAGGTATTATGCATTTGTGTTGATCTTTGCAACGCACTAAAATATTAGTACTATACCCACCTTAAAGTATACCGATTGACTCAGAATCACTTTTTGAGTCGATTTGGAATACACGTTACTTTTGATCCAAAGACCTATTGAAAATGGTTAAAATCGGTTCATTATTTCATCTAGCCCCCATACAACTGAACCCCCCGAAAAGGGTTTTGATAATTATGTATAATATAAATGTATCTCGATTAAAGTGCGCACAATTAAGTTTTATACAAGCCTTGATGACCTTGTCGAATTTCGAAATGATCCGATCTCATTTGACCCTAGACCCAATACGAAGCCTCCTTCAGAAAGTAACATGAATATCCGCAATTCACTTATTAACACTGTTATTGCAATGATGCACAGACAAATATTATATAAATATAAATCTACTCATCTCATTTTATCGGGATTGGTCCACATTTGCTCCTATCCCCCATATAAAGCTTCTTTCAGAAAATTCGTTTTTCGTCAATAAATTGCTTAAATAAATCGGAATCAAGGTAATATCAAGATAAATGCCTTATTATGAAAAATAAATCACATTAAATATTCATAACTGGTGTAGGGTATAATATGGTCGGCCACGCAGCGTATACTTTCTTAATTGTTTCTTACTTAAATAGTGTTGATTATAAAAAGAGATACTATTTTAATTCAGTTCAAGTTCAACACCAGATATGTTGGAAAAAATGTTCTGCGGGTTATACGAATTTAAATAATTTTGCAGTTAGTTGTCATTCGAATAAACATTTATTGATTAATCTGTGCAAAAAAAAAAAATATATATATAAATTACTAACTAGTTGTTGAAGTGCCTTTATAAAGAAGGGGCATAAAATCGAAATTATATAAAATTTGATGCCTTCAAGTTGTCCTTAAAGATGGTCCAGTGTAAATAAAGTACTAATAAAATATATTTTTCCCTATTAATCAAAAATGTAATATAGAACGAGTTGTGTTCAAGAGTCCTATTCGGGTGGTACGGTTGTATGGGTGCTAGGTAAAATAATGCACAGATTTCAACCATTTTCAATATTTTTCGTCTTCGGGTCAAGAGAAATTTAATCAAATTTTCTTGAAAATTGCGACGTATAGCATGCGCACAAGGTTCACATGGACACACGGACGGACAGACATAGCTTAATCAACCCAGAAAGTGATTCTGAGCCAATTGGTATACTTTCAGGTGGGTGTGGGACCAATATTTTTGGATGTTACAAACATCAGCACTCAAAACTATAATGGTGTAGGGTATAAAAATGCCGGTTATTATCTTCTAAATGGTGAGAATGTAAGTATTAGCATAAGCACTAAAATTAACACAGTTGTTCAAAAAGTACTAAATAAAAAATATGTATTCTATTAATGGGATTTTATTTATTAGTCAATGTTTAATAATTTTTTTAATAAGATATTTTATCTTAAAATATATAATAAACACATGTATTTGTTTCTTATTTGCGCTAATAAAAAATAACAAGTAAGAGTCTTATATACTGAAAAATACTTTTTGTTTAGCTACAGACAGAATTATTGAAGATTTGGATCCCGCAGATATCTGGGGTCTTCAGAAAACTGATTTCAACAGAGAAACGGACAGACATACTGACGGACATGGCTTAATCGACTCCGCTGCATATAAGGATCCAGAATATATTATATTGATGACAAACTTACATACACATATATACCCCTCTCACGAACGTGAGGGTATAAAAACATTGTTTTATTTTCAGATAACTATGAGACTGGTCATGCATACATACATATGTACATGTAAATCAAAAAATTTTCGCACATAATGTTTTATGGCCTGTTCGCAATTTGCTAAAAGTAACAAAATTTAATTTTGCAAAATACAAAAAAAGTTTCCAATAGCAAGATCAATTTTATTTTAAAATACGTTACATTTCCAATTACAATTACATTTCCAAATGTATTTAATAAAATTTCTTAATAATAAGTAAATAAAAAATAAATGCAAATAATATTGCATTGTTAATAATTAACCAATTCGGTTATAACAGCCAATATGTGTTCGAAAAATATATGTTAGGAAAATAAACTACAATCGATGTACTTGATTGTTCGTAGAACCGACCAAATTCGACTGGTAACAAATTCGGTTGTGCCAATGAATCTGTTTTCTCTGTGTGGTATCATTTAAAAGGCCTTTTGAAAGCGCATCATCAAATCATATGTCGTAAAGATATAGTAAATCATTAGATTAATATAAACGTCAGGGTGATTTTCGGAAATAGCCGTCAGAGAGGGATTGGATTAATTATTGACCAAGCACTTTCGAATTAAAAGAAGAAATTATTTTTTGTGAATTCTACCAAAATCTGTCATAATGTTAAGTTTTTGGAATGATTTATTAGTTAAAAACCGATTTTCTAAAAGAGGGTTTTTATAGGGGACCAATCCCCAAAAATAATATAATTCATAAAAACATAGATTTCGGTTGCACAAACTTTTGTGTCGAATTTCATATATATTTTATGCCAGTCAATAATTGCGTAAGGTCAATTATGGACCAATTGTAATTTTTGTAGAAAGATTTCGTCGGTATACATGCATTCTTAAGACAGGTGTGATCGTTTAAGTCATTTTCTTAGGGGAAAATTATTTGGGTGGCAGGGTCACTCATAGGCTGATCCTTATGAAATTATATCAGAAGATTTCTGCTCTTATAAAACCTGTTTATGTTGAATTTTGTCGCAGTACAAGAATTTTTAGGAAATCTAATATATATGTACGATCCAACAAAATTACTTGTTTTGACTAAACGTATTTATGAGCATTTCTATTGGATCTAGATAACATCATTAACCGATAATTTTAATTTTCATTATGGCTAGGTCGTACAACCTATGTAACAAGTTGAATCGGAATTATGTATTCGTACGGTTTTACGTATTCAAAGGAAACTGAAAAACAATTTAATTCGTCAAGAAATAAATTTGCATTATGGTGACGAATTAATTTTTATAATAAAAAAGTTGCACTTTTCTCAAAAATACGTTTTTATATGAAATTCAAAAATTGGTAGGTTTCAAACAATTTGATAGTTTTTTTACAAAAATTTGGTACTATTAAAATTTTCTCGGTGGCAATATTGAATATATTATTCTCTTATTTAATGTTCACTTATTTATGCTCATTTAGTCTCATTTTTTCATTTTTGTAATTTGAAACATTTATGTCTTTTTGTTTAAAACTTCTCACATCATTTCCGGTTTCCGCTTATGTGTCAGTTTCATAATTTTTAAATTTTATGTGTGTGTACATTATGGTAACATCTACACGCATAAAATATAATAACAATTTAGCAGCAAAAAAAACGATTCAATTCATTTCGTATAATTTTAATGTTCGCTATTACTAGAAAATGTTAGTTATAAATGGATTTTCATTACGTTCAAAAGGCTTGTAAACTGCGCAATCTGTGCATTACCGATACATTGTATTTGACAGAAATTGTCTACAACAATGATATATTTCAAGTTTTCTCTTTTAAATAAAACAGTTTGTACAAATGTGTATGTTTGCATTAGAGCCCTGCATGAGTGACTTAAATAATAAATTAAAACATTTGATTTTTTTTCAAACACTGTGTTTGACTCACTCATTGTTTTATGAATGAAATGAATAGTATATTTGAAAATAAGGAATGTTAGTCAATACTCAATTCAAACGAAACAAGTAATGAGAGTGTTTGTGTGATTCAATTCAAGTAGTATACAGTGAGTGAATCGAGTGAAAGCAAAACAATTTTTAAGTTCGACAAATTAACAGATTTTTTGAATATTACTTCGAATTTTCGAACTTAATTTCGAATAGTCGAAGATAATATAGTAGCGTCATCAACTGTACTTAACACTGCCAAATTTCAGCCAATTTGGTCCACGGAAACTGGTTTTATCAGCTTTAAATTTTTTTCGAACATGAGTTCGAGTTTTCGAAAATTTTTTTTTTCGTTTTTTGGACTCAAAGAATAATTTAAAAGCATAAAAAAATTTTCGAACATAACTTCGAATTTTCGAACTTAATTTCGAATATTCGAACATAATATTATCTTGTCATCAATTGTACTCAAGACTACCAAATTTCAGCGAATTCGGGCCACAGGAACTAGTTTTAACAGCATTCAAAATTTTCACCATTTATTCAAGAAAAAGTTTGAATCGATTCATTCGATTCAAACAATCTATTTTGTATTGTTTTAACATAAACAAATTGTTTACTCGCTCGATTTGAATGTAGTTGCACATTCACTTGATAGTACTCACAACGTTTGAGTATAACAAAACTTTGTAAATACTATTCTAAACAAACAATGAGTTGAGTGCAAAGCAATGAGTCACTCATTGTGTGTAGCAAATAGAGTTACTCATGCAGGGCTCTAGTTTGCATATCTCTTTCATTAATACTTTAATTAAAAAATTATTTTTATAGCAAAACTTGCAAAGTTATGTTTTTACAAGGTGATGATGTATACGTAAATATTTTATTAAAATTAAACTATGTTTAACGAAAAAGAAACCAATGTTTATGTACGTAAGCATTCTAATCCTAATTACTATAACATTAATTTCTTTTATTAACGAAAAACATTAAAATAATTGCTCACGATATATTCATGTACGTCTATGTAGTCAATGTTTTTAATTAATGGATTAGGTCTAATTAAAATGTTCCCTTTCAGTTTTGTGAAAAATCCATATACTAAAGAGCAATCGGAGTCTTCAAATAAACATTAACAAAACTTAAATCCTTAAAACTTTTAAAATTTAAAAGAGAACACTAATGATGTATTGTAATTTACAAATTTCATTTTAATGTTGTTGTTTTTTTCAGTGTATTCATCCATTCATTGTATTGCAATTGAAAACTTTTCTGTGTTAAGCAACGTGAAATGTACAATACTTGGCTACTCATCATAGCAATTACAACTGTTGGATGCTTATGGAATTCGCAACTAACTGAAACATCATCGAAATCATGCCCAACTGAATGCATCTGTTTATCACAGACACAAGTAAGTACGAATCCGTCTACAACAAATATTTATTATATCTATGTATGCTCGAACGAGATGAGCATGATGAGTGCAAGTGAGTCAGTCAGTGCACCATGACAATAGCAAGTTCAACTGGAACATTTTTCGTATTTTGGTTTATTCTAAATATTTTCAGTTCTTGTTTAGTAGTGTTTTATTTTTCATGTTTTTTCCTTTTTGAAACTGCAGTCTAGCAAAAGTTTTTGCAAAATGGCACAAAAAACAGCAACAAAACAACAGCATAAGCAAATATTTGTTCTATAAGACGAGAAAGTAACTGGCTTAGAAGTCAAGTGACGGAAACAGACAATGAAATATAAGAAAAGTTTTCATTTAATGAAAACAACTCTCTACACTCGCATAGCTCAGCATAAAAACAAAAAAAAAATATAGAAAACAAGAAAGAAATAATATAATATATTTGGCAATGCTCGACCACATGATACACTATACCAGCTATGAATAAAATGTTATAAATAGATTACACTGTGCGTAGTGTTTTAAGTCATGGAAATATAACAATATACGGACACTACTAAGTCTCCCAGTTTTGCTCAATTTCATGCACTCTTTAATGGGCTCCAAAAGGTGTGGGTCCTCGGTGTTATTTTGAAGCCTCAGTGATCATTTTGTCAGGCTCATATCTTGCAAACCGTTAGGAATTTTGATTTACTCTAAGAGGCAAAGGTATTGCTCTTGTCATAAGGAACATATAAAATCAAAATCACTTTATGTTCATTTCAAGTGGAAAGTTTTACATTGTTAAATTTTACTACGTTTATTAACGACTCCTGTACGTATACGTGTTAATGATTTATTGATATTTCAATATTAAGTATACGTCTAATTTAGAGAAGCACTTGATATATTTGTTAACACGTAAAAAATATAATTTTTTAAAGTTATTTTCGATTTTCTTCTTGAAGATAAAGTTTTTTTTATTTTATATTTTTATATAATTTTATTCTTTATGACAAGACCTAAGCATTGCCTCAGAGAGTAAATCAAAATTCCGAACGGTTTGCAAGATATTTTCAATATATAACTTGGGATTACGTGGTTTTCGTAATATAGCGTTCTAAAGTTTAACATCAGAGAATTTAAATCACGACATCTAAAGTTTTAACGATAGAATTATTGTTCTTTGCATCATTCTACCCAGGAAAAGGCTTTGATTATGCGCAAAGAAAAAAATATTTAAAAATTGTGCATATTTGGATGTGAAATTAATCATTATTCTCGATCTTCCTATAAAATCAATAATTATAGAGTGATTTCTAATATATGTTGCAGTTTGTTCTCAGGAGAAAAATATGGTTCAAAATCAATGGTTGTAGCAGAAAATATGCAGATGAAGGAGATGGAATTTTTAAAAAATGATTGCAGCCTTGTAATAACTGATACAGACAAGTTCTAAAAACTTATGATACACAAAATCGGAACTCGAACTCATAGTATCTTAGTGTAGGGTATAATAAAAGAACAATTTTTGAATGCAAATGTTCAAGTGTGAATGTACTATTTCAAATATTCAATAACATTTGCAGTTGTATTGGGGTAAACTACAAACAACAACTATAACAGTAAAACCAACAAAAACAATATGTAAAACAGCTTAAATTCTATTAAATTTTCTTCCAAGAAACAAACAACATTTTCCTTAAGATTATAATACAGTTGAGGCCCTACAGTACAAAAAGCGCCAATTGATACCATTTACAAGTTATATTACCGCATATTCAACTAACAAATTACCTCTGGCAAACAAAATGTTCAAAATATTATGACAGTAAATTCTAAAAAAAATAAAATCTTTAAAAATTTCACTTTGATAGCCTCATGTAATGCTGAAAGTGTCCGTTTGCATTTAAGAAGCAGAAAATGCAAAAATTATTACAAAAATTACATGTAATTCTTAACTAAAATTAGAGCTTTAGCTGTTGATATCGCCGTTGTCGAATTAGTTTGTCGTACTGCAGGGGATACTCACAAAACACACAGATACTATGACTTGTTTTTGTTTTAATTGTGAATCTGTGTGAGTGGAAATTTCCTTCGTCATTATTTTGGGGTTATAACATTTGCATTTTTAAATGGAAATGTAATATTTGAAGCAAAATGAAAATCTCAGACATGTTTTGGCATGTTTAATGTTGCCGTTGATTTCAAATCTCTTAACAATAAAACCGTTAGTAAGATAAAAAAAGCAGTGTCGAATAGAATCTACCAACTAATAAATTGGTGAATAGAGGAATGCGAAGAGTGGTCAAAGAAAACAAACTAAAAAGAAAAACACAAGAACAGTAATATGTGATACTGATGCCAAAGACTGAGAGCTGTAAGTAAAAGCATTAACGAAATATACCCTCCAGTCGAATGGAAACTGGATGTACAATAGACCAGACCATAAAAGAATACACATATTCTCTTTAAAATACTTACATCATAATGTAATGTTCTAATATGAAATGTTCCTTAAAAAATAACTTTCTGTTAACCAGTTGACCACCACAAAAACGGAACATAAGTAAGTATTATGTGAGAAATTATATCCTAAAATTATCAAGTTATTTGGAAAGTTGAACCTTATTCAGATAGTAGAGGTTAATGTGTTTCTAATCTGAATTAATTTTGATTTATCTAATATTCGTTAAAACATGAGTTTTAGTTTTTATGTTTACAACAAGAAAATCGATATTGAAATTTGATAAAACTATATGAAAGACTTCAGTATTACTCATATTTTTAGTAGTATTCAGTTCAAAAAAAATTGATAAACATTTTAAACTGCATTAATAGTTTTCTTTCATCTTAATCATCAGTTCTTAATAAGATTTCTTTTACTTACGAACAACTATTTAAATGGTAGATACCAAATTCTTAACAATCCAAACATTGAACGGGCCTTAAACGATTGCACGGTCTTTCTGTCGCATAAAAAGCTCACCCAAAGCAATTATATTTGTTAAGGACTGGTCTAATGAACAATCGCCAGAGGCCATGCACGTATACACACAAACAAAAACACAAACACAGGCTCTATCCTAACAAAAAGGTACAATATATGCCCCCTGTTCACTGGAGAATGCAAGAAGACTTCACTGTGAACAGTGGCAAAAAATAAATATAAAACAATGTAGAAAAATATTTTCGATTTAATTTAATTTTCAGCAATAACCACGTAGATTCAATTTACCCGCGGTTATAAAAACACAACAATAATAATAATAGAAAGAACAACAACATGAATAATAACGGGAAGAAGAACATGACCAGTAGTGATACGGACTTGTACAACGTAAGACCTTCATTGTGTGTTAAAATCATTAGAATAATTTAGAAGAAATCCAATACCCCTCCAGTTTGTTTTATTTTCTTATTATTATTATTATTTTTTTTTTTTTTTGTAATTGCAAAAACATAATTGTGTCTTCTTTGAGTTTATTGTGTGTTTTTCTTTTTTTTTAATTTTTTCATTTTAGGTGCTTTGCAATACTGGTGGACTAGAGCAAATTCCATTACGTCAATTACCTTCCACTGTGGAGAATCTTGCATTAACCAAAAACAATTTTCCAGTCATAAAACCAGATTCATTTGCCGGCTTACGAGCTCTTAAAAAACTTTCGCTGGACGGCAATAACATAACAAAAGTTAAACAGTTTGCATTTCGTGGTCTACCCAGACTCAAGGAACTCTCCATACAATATACGCCTTTGCAGTCAGTTACATCGTTTGCATTCGCGGGCCTTCAAAATCTGTCGACTATACTTTTGAGTCACAATCAAATAACTCGCATAGAAACTAATGCATTTGCTGGAACCTCCAATGTTAAGCTGATACTCTTATCCAATAATCCCTTGATCAAAATAGACACCTCAGCATTCTCCAGCCTTACAAATGTAGGACATTTGATATTACCTTCTGGAATACGTACAATCGAACCTGATGCATTTTTTGGCATGGACACTGTGGGATTACTTAAACTGGCCTATATGGATCTCAAGGAAATACAGCCATTCACTTTTAGAGGCCTATCAAATGTACTGCTCCTAACTTTACAGGAATCAGACTTGGGTGTTGTGTGCACCGATGCTTTCACCGGACTTTCGCAAGTCGAAACGTTTCAAATACTTAATAATAAAATAGACGCCATCGAAGAACTTAATTTCACATACACAGCTAACATAAAACATCTTAAACTACATGGAAATCATATATTGGAAACTCCCGATCCAAATGTTATTATTATAGATGGCGTCGAACATCTACAACTCATCAACAATCACTTTCCTTGCGGTTGCCATATTCACACTCTGCTGGATGGACCTTTGGTAGAGGGTGCTCATAATCTCAGCGAATTCCTGCAGAAAAACTATTGCATTTCGCCGTTAGAAGTAAACGGGCGGGCAATGATTGAACTTGACATTGACTCTATTGGTCGGTGTCAGGACCAACTCACCAAAGGTAATCTAGGTTCCTCATCATCATCATCCATGGCTCTTAGCATGTACATGATAATACTCATATCGACAACAACGATTGATTTTATGCCCTCAATTGTGATGTTCAATGATATTCTCAATTACTTCCTACTGCTAGTAATCGCTGGACCCATAAGTATATCATATAAAAAATATAGATGAATTTAATTGTCCACAACAAGGTGTTGAACAGATACCACATCAAAAACCCAAACGTTTAGTCTGAATTTTATAAAAGTAAATTATTTATAATAGAAAACAACCTCGTTAAGTAAATGAATCTTCGAATATTTTAAATTTTATGTTTGCTTAGGTATTTCTATTGTTAAGAAATTATTATATTTACAAGATTAATCTACTTAGAATAATTATTTTTAATATATAGAAGAACTTAAAATATTCTATTTATGTTTATTTTATTGCTACATATATACTATTTATAAAATCATATGAACACTCATGCAATTGTAAATACAAACATATTTTTATCCTAATACATATTTAAAAATGCTTAAATTCCAGGTCGTAAGAATATATCTAATTTTAAGCAAATATGTACCAACTTCAACTTTAATTTATATGTAATTAAAGGATGTGCCAAACAAATGTTTTTAAGTGTAGACTTTTATATATTTATAAGTTAACCTTTTGTCTTGTTACAAGCTTTAAATTATATTCTAATACTGTTTATCGAGACTACTAAAATAAAAACTGTTGATGCGATTTTACGATGATTAATTTAGACCGAAAGATGAATAAATTGTTAACTTCGAATAACATATTACCTACTATAGTGTGTGCAGTGTATGATTTTTAGTTGGTTGAGAGACATATTATTTGGCTTTATATCTAAAAAATTTAAATTATTTTTCCGCGATAAGCTAAAAAAAGTGATTCTTACTACCTTCTTTATTTTTATGTTTCATCCTTAAACTCTTCGGAGCACTGTTGACCATTTTTTGAGAAGGTCATCTCAAAGTTCTTTTACTTAAGTATTTGAATGTAAACACTAGTAAACCTCGGGAGCCAGAGTGATGAAACATGAACTATCAGTGCATTTTGCTAAATTTTCAATATTCTCACTAAATTTTTAAATTATTGTGACTTTTCTAAAATATTTTAAAGTGAAATAATTTGTATATAATTTTAAAATATTACTTTAATAAACATTTTAAACCTTTTAGAAAAATTTTTTTTTCTTAAATTTTCAAATTTACTGAAAATCATGTACATAGTTTATAGAAAATAAAAGAGTGCGAGAAAATCTTTGACATCCCTATATTTGTTTAGGGAAAATAATGGCGGACTAGAAATAGTGGGCCTGGCACCTCTATGAATTAAATATAATTAGAATATGTAGAAAAGTAGAACATCTACAGTTTTGAATTTTGTTAATAGAACAACAGTAAACCAGCAATAGTAGGCGGGTGGGACACTTCCAGTACTAAAATTTCTTATATAAACCTCAAATTTCGTACGAGTAACCTTATTAAATATCAATATAAAAATTTGGGAAGAAAAATATGCAATAGTTAAAATTCAAGGACTCAACTACCAAACAAAAAAGACCGAGTTTAAAAAATTCCTATCCAGAAAATTCAATTATGTATTTTTGACCGTCATCGCGTAGAATGCTCATACGTGCGGAGAACATTCATGAGCCAGCTGCCTAAAATTCGGCTAAATACTTTTTAAGCGATAATGTTATGAATCTCTGAGTCTAAGAGCCAATTTAGTAGAAATACATTCCTGAGTTCGTAGCGCCTGTAACAGCAAGACAAGGATGTGTTTATAGAAGATGATTAATGACAAAAATAAGTATCTTACGTATATACACAAATTGTTGTACCTTATTTTATCACTATAACTTATTATATACATAACATTAAGAAACACTTTAACTCGCATGAAATCATAATAAACGCCGGTGTTGATTTGAAATTCTACAAGGATTCTTCTTATCGGCAAATTGAATAACGAATGTTTTTAACGAAGCAATAGTTTTGATTTCTTGCCACCAATTATGCTTCAGTAGCTATCCGACATGACTTTTGTACATTCTTCAAATTGTGAGCTCGCACTGTTTTACAAGCACTGACAGTTTTAAGTACATATTATCAATAATATATATATATAATATCATTATTTGATAGATAAGTTTATTATTAATCGTTCATTAACTTCTATTCAAATTACAAATTAAGTATTTATTTTAATGTAAATTCAAAATTGGAGCAACATGGTTGTGTCTTATAGATATGAACAATCTTAACTAACAGAACCCACTAATACGTACATACATATGTACATGATCAAAGTCCTTTGAAGATTTATAAAACCGTACTTCTAGCAAAATATGTATTGATTCATCATTTTAATGAATTCATCGTCAAAAATATCATCAAACCACAAATCTTTTGTGGCATCGTTGAAATTTTCGTTTTTAATTCTACAAATTCTTTGAGAGTTTATATTTTAACGGGTGAGTGGATGCATGGAAACATGTTGTGAAATCTTTTCTATTGATATTGAAATTAGTATATTTAAAAGCATTCAATTCAAATTCTAATGTTTTGAATAAAAACAATGTCTGTATGTATGTGTTTTTGATATCTACATACATATCTATGTATGTGGGAATTTCAGTGTGTGGCGTTGGGTTCATCAAATAAGTAAAATACCCTTCTTAAAAAAGTCAAAGAAGATTAGTATGTCAAGTATAAAGGAAAATAACAAAAGGGAGTAAAATAAAAATGAATCTTGTAAAGGAATAAAACGAAAAAGATGTTCTTTATACACAACTTGTACTCGTTCACACACATCAAAAACTGTTTGCATACTAACATACTTTCGCATATAGATATAACATACATGTATGTGACATATTAGAGTGCTCCAAACTTGTATGCACAAAAAACATTTTATCCGACAGGCTGTCCCCCTCTATAATTGATCTTTGGTTATAAACCTGTGTGTTATGCAAAAAATTAGGCTGATAAATTATAAAACACAATAATTGGTTGACAAATTTAAAAGTTGTTGAAAATTCCCCACTTCATAGACGTGTCTAACAGCACTTGAATGCAAAAAAAGAGGGGAAATATTCTATTAAAACTATTTTGTTACTTAAAATATTCCAATTTTCCCTTGTAAATACACCTCAAAACTTCAGAGACATGGCGGAACCTGTAAACCTCATCGTATCAGCCTAATTCTTTGCATGACATAGTTTTACAACCCAAAGGAATAATTCTAGAGGGGTTACTGGCAAAATTCGGAACTTCATTTTTTAAAGCTCTCTAATGTATATATGTATGTAAGTATGTATTTTCACAATCAAATCCATATCAACAAAAAAAAACAAACATACTTATGCATACATACATATTTGACAATGCTTGCATTATAAATATGGGAATGAATGCATGGTTCTGTTTTGTTGAATGTGTGAATATATAATATATTAGTGTAACGGATTATAACCCTTTAATAGTTAAAGAAAATTCACTTAGTTTGATGTACATATGAGCAAATTCAAACATTTTTAAGAATCAATCAGTTGATAACTTATAGAGCCATCCTTTATAAACAAGAGTCAAAAATTTTTGGACATTTAAAAATCCTTATAATAATTTCATTTATACTTTTTGGTGCAAATATATGCGGTTGTAAAAAAAAATTTTGAGTTTTTTTAATAGTCCATGTGCGCGCATTAATCAACTTAATGCGCTTAAAAAAATTTGCAACATAAAAATATTTAAGATTGTACTTTGATTTGATATAAAAATATACGAGAAAGCTACTTCAAACGGCTATATCTTCCAAACCGACTAAGATATTAACTTTTAGGAAAATTTTTCTCGAATGGGCACTATTTTTATTTAAAAATAGCTTAACCTGTATTTTAACGATTTTTTTAAATTTTATTATCTTAAACCGCTATAACTTTTGCGCGCATCAATCAAAATAATTAACGTTTTCGTATTTATCATGTGTAATTATTATCTCATTCAATCACTAAATGTGGTTTTTGACAGAAGAAAAAAAATATTCGAAAAAAAAATTGTATCTAATTCTAAAAATTTTTGATTTTGCTCATATGGGAAATTCTCTTTTTATTGTAAATTTTAAGAAATAAACTTTATGCAATAAATATTTATTTTGTTTAGTATTAGGGATGCCAATCCCGAAAATCCCGAAAACTTTCGGGATTGGTAAACCCCGAATACCGGGATTTGCCAAAATAAATCCCGGGATTTTCTCGGGATTAAGATATCCCGAAACGCGGGATTTTTCAAATTGTATCAATACATATTTTATTTTCCTTTTTGAACCAAAATTTTCATTAGTTTGAAAATTATTTTATTTCTGACTAATGCAAAAAAAAAATCAACACAGCTAATTTTATATATATTTGAACCTTGTATTTTTTAAAGAGTTATTATTCCATACACATAGTTAACACATAGAAATGTTGGTCGTAGACCCAAAAAGTATTAACATTCTGTGTCCGTAAGTTGGAAACAAGAGCTAGAACCAGTGATGCCAGGAGATTTTTTTCAGAAATCCCTACGCTTATGAGAAAAAATCCCTTTTTTCCCTACACCCACTTTTTATTTTCCCTACATTTTTCCCTACACTACTTTTTTCCATTTTTTCCAAGTTTATCTTAAAAAAATACAATAATAACATAAAAAACTAAAATATTAGCTGTTTTATAATATACATATATATATATTGTTTTTTTTTTTTTTTTTTTAATTTTTAGGAATGAAGTTTCTAGAATTTAAATTTTTACTTTCAATTTTACATCATACAAATCTTCCAACCCTGACTCTTCAGTTAAGATTAAAAAAAAAAAGACAATTGAGAGATTTATGGCAGTATCACGATTCGATGTTAAAAATTTATTTTATGTGCCCCCAACAAAAAATTTCATAAAATTTAATATAATTATTTTAAATAAGGTTTACTTTTGCGTTTACTTTTTGCGGTTTACTTTTATAAATTTTCAGAACATGAAATTATTTTTTTCAATCCTGAGTTACTGCATTAAGCCCCCGACTACTCTATCTATAAGGAGTCAGAATATATCGCCCTACAGGATTGGCATAATCCAAAAAAGTAGTTTCAAGAAAAAAGGGTAAGAATATTTAATGACATTTAACTATTTTCTTTGATAACTTTTAAACAAATCAATGGATTTTAAAAATCCAAATTCAGATAGTTGAGTTTAATATGTTTCTCATCTAAATTGAAATTCAATTTTTAGTTATCTAATATTTACGAAAACGTGGGTTTTAGTTTTTACGTTTACAAAAAATCGTTTTCACATCGAAAATAATAGACATATTAGAAATTTGATAAATCTATATGAAAGATTTTAGTATGTCGCATGTTTTTTAGACCTCAGTTCAAGAAACCCGAATTTTGGATTATGCCAGGCTTGTAGCGATATGTACATAGGTACACATATTATAGAAATTACAAGCGGAATTTTTACTAACGATACACTTAAAACTGATTTCATTTTTAATTTTAAAGTTTAATACATGAAAGAGTATATTTTTAGTTGATAAAAACTATGAAATTGAAAAAATTCCTACAACTTGACAATAGTAAGAAATCTTTCCCTTTTTCCCTACACGTGAAATTTTTTAAAAAAATCCCTACAAAAAGGGAAAAATCCCTACACTTGGCATCACTGGCTAGAACACTCATTCTATTTAGGCTGCAAATATGGACCAAAATAGTCACAAGAAAACCTAATAGGACCTCTTCTAAAAATCATATTGATGCTCATATTAATATCAATACATTACAATAGTTTGATGGTAAGTATTTAATTTCGACACAGTTGAATACAAACTTTTTTTCAATACTAGAAGATTTTGCATTTCACACTTTCCACAAATCTGAGTGATACCGGTAAAGGTAATTAATTACCTTGTTCTGAATGTTCATAAAATTTTAAACAAATACTACGAATATGTTATATTCCAAAACTAATATGTATTTTGTGTCTACAAAATTACAAATATATTTCAAAGAAAAGGTTCTAACCCTGCATAAATTATACACTGAGACAAAATTAACGAAAATTAAAATAGCTATGAAGTGATACTATTTTTCTGAAAGGTGGTTCCAAGTCAGTGATGCCAAGTGTAGGGATTTTTCCCTTTTTGTAGGGATTTTTTTCAAAAATTTCACGTGTAGGGAAAAAGGGAAAGATTTGTTACTATTGTCAAATTGTAGGGATTTTTCAATTTCATAGTTTTTAACAACTAAAAATATACCCTTTCATGTATTAAACTTTAAAATTAAAAATGAAATCAGTTTTAAGTGTATCGTTAGTAAAAATTTCGCTTGTAATTTCTACAATATATGTACCTACATATCGCTACAAGACTGGCATAATCCAAAATTCGGGTTTCTTGAACTGAGGTCTACAAAACATGCGACATACTAAAATTTTTCATATAGATTTAATGTTCTGAAAATTTATAAATGTAAACCGCAAAAAGTAAACGCAAAAGTAAACGCAAAAGTAAACCTTATTTAAAAGAATTATTTTATGAAAATTTTTTTGTTGGGGGCACATAAAATAAATTTTTAACATCGAATCGTGATACTGCCATAAATCTTTCAATTGTCTTGTTTTTTTAATCTTAACTGAAGAGTCAGGGTTGGAAGATTTGTATGATGTAAAATTGAAAGAAAAAAATTTAAAATTCTAGAAATTTCATTCCTAAAATTTAAAAAAAAAATACATATATATGTATATAGGTATATTATAAAACGGAGCTAATATTTTAGTTTTTTATGTTATTTTTGTATTTTTTTAAGATAAACTTGGAAAAAAGTAGTGTAGGGAAAAATGTAGGGAAAACAAAAAGTGGGTGTAGGGAAAAAAGGGATTTTTTCTCATAAGCGTAGGGATTTCTGAAAAAAATCTCCTGGCATCACTGTTCCAAGTAGAACAGGAATATGTTTTAGAAATTTGCCAAACACCTCCAAAATCTTGAGTTACGGGTAAAAAAACGGTTTTTCGTATCTTTAAGTACTTATAAGTCAGTAACATAGTTGAATCTGAATGGATTTTAAGTTTCTCCAAGAATTTAGAAAGCAGAGGCCTTTATTTTTTTTTAAACAAAGTTGCGTTTTACTCATGAATAAACATGGGTTTCTAATCAGTTAATAAATGGTACGGTTCTATAAAAAATACTTTCATAAAACATCTCCAAACTTTAACAACGGTGCAAATTTCGAAAACATATTCTTGTTCTACTCAGACCCACCTTTCAGAAAAATAGTATCACTTCCCAGGTATTTATTTTTGTCGCATAGTGTTATTAGAGTACATGATCCGTTTAGTAGTCCTATGTAATGCTGGCATGGATCATGTTTATTATTTTAAAAACAACATGGTGATTAGCCTGCTTTACATCGGTCCATGTTGTGGATCATGTGGGCCCATAATTTAAGCAATGTAATGAATGGATGGGTTACGTGGTCCTCACCTAGGACATTACAATGTTAAATGGAGTATGTTTTTTCCATATATTTGGATTGGTTTTAGACCAGTCCTAAAACTCCTTACACTCGTGTGTGGAGTAGTCTCAATTTTTTTTCGGGGAAATTGATGTTCGAATAATTGAATTGAGCTCTGTTATAAATAATTATTAGTTCATCTGGAACAGTATGCTGTTTTACAAAGTGCTTACGTCTAATTTCGGAACTTGGTATTTATTTTTATTTAAGAAGTATGTAGTTAAAAAGTTTCAGAAATTATGAAACTCTAAAAGATTTTATTTAAAAACTGGAGTTAATTGGATTTTTTAATTTAAATATATATCTCTTGCCTGCTAAATTTCTACAAAATTTAATAATGTTTTTTATAAACATAAAGATTTAAATATTTTTATATATAATATAATTAAATTTATGTAATCC